AGAGAGAGAGAGAGAGAGAGAGAGAGAGAGATGGGGTAAGTACAATGAGAGTGAAAATACATTACATAATTACATAATTGCGGTTTTGTTTGTCGTGTTTTTAATAATAAAAACTAATCATTTAATTATATCACAGAATAATAATTGTATTTTGTTTTTCATCTCATTTTTACCATATTGTCCATTGAATTGTAAATATATTTTAAGCTCAAAGTGAGAGTCAATTAGTTGTTTAGTTATTTTTTGTCACAACGATATTTGATAAGATATATCAAGAGATTTCGTGTGTATTGTATGTCTGTCTGTGTGTCTTGTGGTGTGATTTTATGCACAATTAGTTTTAATTTTGTTATATATATTATATAGAAATATAATTTACTTTATATATAAATATTATATAATTGTGTTTCAAATGAATGATTTGAATGACAACACAAAACGGAAACAAAAATATTAAGTTTTTTTTCTCATTTTGTTTTCATAACGACTTAAGTAACGACTGGAATGCTATTCAGTATTTGTAAATATAATTTTAATTTTAATTAATTTTAGTTATTATTAATATTCAAAAAACAAATCGGGAAAAAGTGTTTCATTATATTTTGCTTTTGTCGCCTAAAAATGTATTTACAGTAAAATATTTAAATTTTTATAATAATTTTTGCGATTTTCTCTAAAATGTTTAGTAGTTTTAATTGTAGTTTTTGGCCATAAATTTGCTGTTTATTAATCAAAAAATAATAGTCAAATAATTCATTACACGACTTGAAGTGTTTTAAATATATATATATTATATAATTGTCTTCACATATAAAACAAATTCAATGATTAGAGGATCGGAATTGAGAGCATTTCGTATGGATTTTTCACAATGTTTTTCAATTTGCGGCCCAAAAGTAACCGCAAAACAAACTTAAGTGGTGTCCAGAGATGGTGTGGTGTGTGTGGTATGCGGTGACCGAGAATAACACATATACAGTACGTATATATTTCATAATAAATATATATAATTATCTACAGATATATAATTCAAAATATCGTTCAGATGTTTCCGGTGGTGAAGAAAGGGAATGCACCGAATTGTGAGTTAATCGGGGTCTTCGGTGAGGCACACACTGTGCCCAAGAAGTCGTCCGACTGTAAGTGAGTCCGGTTTAGGGTCGGCTCAGAAGTCGAGCGATGAATTTTGGGCAGAGATCGCAGCAAATGCTCTAAAGTGGCCAAAATCTGTGCCGAAGACGACAACAACAACAGTACGATTAGTGATCAATCAGTGGTCAAACAATCGGCAAACACTGGTCACAAACCTGTCGAAACAGTGGCCGTTCTTCCCTATTAAACAGTATGCAGTCCTCTATCAACCGTATGAAACCTTTTGGCGTCTCGTTGCGGCTGATGTGGAGGTCGGGGTGTATGAGCCCGTGTCCCACCATAAACAGTATCTGATCCTTGTTGTTGATGTGCTGATACGGCAACTGTCCGGTCACTAACTCGTACATCACAATACCAAACGCGTAGACATCGCTTTGAAACGTGTAAGGGTTGGCCTCTTTCATGCGGATCACTTCCGGCGCCATCCATAGGATAGAGCCCGTCGGCTGATTGAACTGCTGTGAGCCCTGCCATCGGGTCTTAACAGTAGCCAAACCGAAATCGCCGATCTTAACGGTCAGGTCGTCGTGAAGGAAAATGTCTGCACAAAAACAAACACAAAACCAAACAAATGGTATAATTAATGTCAAAGATATGTCTCATTTTGGGTCAATTAATTTACTGTTGGATTTCATGTCCCGATGGATGATATTCTTCGCGTGCAAGTAATCCATTCCCTGAGCGGTCTGTCGGGCGATGTCTATGAGTTGCAATAATTCAAACTTCGTCTCCAAGACGTGCAGATGCTTGTATAGGGACGAGCCTTCGCACCATTGGGTGACAATCGTGAGCTGCGGTCGGGACACACAGCCCATGAATAACAGTATATTCACGTGTCGGGTCTTCCGGAGGACAGCCACTTCATTCTTGAACGCCTATCACAACAACAACAACAAAAACATTACAAACCAAACGCCAAGAGATCTAAATAGCGGGTGAGAGTGAGAGGGACAGCACCTGTAGCTGAGCGGGTGTAGGATTAGTGACGTTAAGTTTCTTGAGCGCGACGGGCCCGTGCCAGTGGCCCCTATACACTGTCCCAAAGGATCCGGAGCCGATGCGCGGCCCCGTAAGTATCTCGTCCAGCGGTATCTCCCAGTCCTCGATGGACTCGCGGCCTCCGCTGTTGGGCCGTATCTTCTTGGAGGACTCGTCGGCAGAGCGCGCCCGCGGCCGCCACTGTTGCCGTATGCTTGTCGGCGAACCGCCGGCCGATTGGGTTCGCGTGGGCGACGATGACGGCGAGATCGAGCCCTGGTATCCCGATGTGGAACTCGTGGCTATCGTGCCGGAGGAATGGGGCGGATGTAAGTTACTGAACGCACCTGTCATGTGATGGCAATCGGAATGTCATAATTAGTACACGAGTGACAATAAGAGTGGTAATTATATTAATGAAAATATACACTAAAAATGATTAAGCGATTTAAGATTATTGGCGAAAGCGGTCACAAAATAGACATATATTGCATAAATACTGATAGACACCACACGTAATGTCTGTCCATTCAGTCATAACCCATACATAATAAGCAAATTTTTATAATTGTATTAATAGTTAACAACAATTAGCGGCAAGTGATTGACAGCTATAGAGACAATAGTAGTATGTATTTTAGACACCGATCACTACCTAAAACACCAATTATTAGCAATTTTATGGTAAAAAACAAAAGCAAACAATGAATGAAACGGCGATTAAACGGGTGGTGCGGACAACGGGTAAAGCGTATTGTATATCATCGGCACTTGACTTTTGCGGACACAACCAAATAGTGGACACAATAGCGTGACTATCATGTCTTGAGCGAACACATCACAATAGGTCTCACATCACCTTTTCCACGGATAGTGGCGTATGGATTGTACGCGTGATTGATTCGCCTGGTGTTCAGCGGAGAGATAAACGCCGGCAATACTATTGACGACGCTTTATGTGTCAATTTTACCATCATTTTTACCGATATATTAAGTCAAACGTGTAATTGAGTTAAAAAAAAGTTTGTTAAAAAGTTGCTTTTGTTTTAAATTCAAAAAGTTAGAAATTAATTGTAATTTTTCATATTAAAAAAGAGTGTTAGAGATTAGGCGACGCTTAAAAAATCATATCGTTGTTAATTTACCATAAGTTAAGCCAAACACTAACCGTCCCATCAATTAATAGTATAGATTAAGATTAAAATAATTCAAAACAAATCTAAACCAATCGGTGACCGGAAAACAACCCGAAAAAACCCCAACAAAAAAAGCAAAATACAAGACATACCGCCGGTGAGGGTACGGATCTCTTCGATGGTAAGCTCGTTATGAGTGACTAGATTGAAGCAGACATTGGGCGCCGACGTCGACCTCTCCCGCTGGCCGAGTGGTGTCGTCCGGTGTGTCAGCGAAGGTTGGGTGGTCTGGGAGGCGGGCGCCGGCTTCGAGTTGGATATATACGTGGACTGGTTGTTGAGGGCCAACATATGCCGATAGTAGTCGGACTCGACGCGCAACGGTTGGCACAGCGACGGCACGGCGTTAGCGCACCGCTGATGGAAACGTATGCCGCAGGTCTGGCACCGGAACCCGTGGAACAGTAGCCGATGGCAGCACTCGCAGAACGCCAGCGTGAAGAATGTTTTGCGGACCTAATTGTGTTGTGAGCATCAGATATTAGGTGATAAAAATCATGATTAATAATCATGTGATAACAAAATAAATAGTCGTTTACATAGTTGTGTGAAATACTGGTCTGAATCGGGAACCGTTCGCGAGTCTCCACTAATATCTCCTGACCCTCGAGTAGTCCGATATCTCTCTCCCATTCGATGGGTTGTCTGCGGAAGAAGAGAAAAGAGCACAAAAAAGTGTCATTAAAAACAAACCACAACTTAAAACAATAGATATCATACTTATTATGGTATATGAAAACAGTGCACATCTCGGGCGTAAGCCTCCGGCGGCGCATCGCTTTGGACAGAGCCTCGCGGACCGTCTGCCCGGGGTATACGGGAACCGTTGTCCGCTGTTGATTGGGCAGATGGGCGCGAATCACCGGCTTGAGTGGCGTACGCGGTTGACTGGAACCGCTGGAGCCGCTGCTGGCGTTGGCCAACAGTTCGTAGTTATTGCCGTCGATGAGATCGATGGGCGAGTCCTCGTAGTCGGCGATGTCGGCGGTGAGTTCAAGGAGTTTCTCCTCCTGGCGCTGAAACTCGTTGAGTTTACTCGTGAGGTCCTCGTACTCGGCGATGTACATACTCGGCGGGTGTTGGTATTGGGCGAACCGGGCGTTCAGCGCCTCCAGATTGCCCTTGGTCAGTCGGATCATGCTCTGGATGTTGCGCAACTGTTGGTCCAAAAACATGGTGTCTTTGCTTTTAATCGTTATCAATGACTACACGAGAGTGAGTGCGAGTGTGTGTGTGATTGGGTGGACACGAGTGCGAGTGAGTGAGAGTGTGTGACCGCACGGGTCGGGCAGACAGCGGACAGACAATTAACAGCGATAATAATTTGGTAACCAAAACGATCATGGTCAAGAAAAAGTTTACAATAAAAAAATATACAAACAGACAGTTAATCAAGTGTTCAGTTAAATTGCATTTGCATTAAAATGTATGATATTAAAGTGTACTAAAAATGCTAAACCATTGATTGCAATGCGAAAAATGCATTGCAATTAAAACTAGTTAAATTTTAAATAATAGTAATTATAATAACAATATTATAACGTAATTGCAATTCAAACTAATCGTTATCATTCATTTAATGCGTGCATTCATATAACATGTATCTGTATTTTTAAACACATATTTAATACAACAAAAAATTAACAATTATTTTACATTTGAGACTTAAATTAATTGCTTTTTTATGCGTTAAACAAGTGTTAAGTCAATCAAACCAAAAAACATACACACAATACAAGCAAAAAGCAACTCAATAAAAACGGGCTGATTATACATGGTTAAATCGGGGGGGG